GCAGTTGAAACTCTTTTAACTGAATTCTACCGCGCTATTATCTCCTGAGAGAACAAGTGTCTTAATAATGTGAATGATCTGGACTGAAGCAATTTTCAGATGTTGAGCCATGTGAAAAAATGCCGCGAAATGGTTGAGTGGCAGTCATTGACAATTCTCAGCAAACTGCTTAAAGGAAGGGTGAGTTTTGATTGCTAAGCTGTTTCAGTTTCTCTTATTCGAAAAACATCAGTTATAGTTACAAGCAATCATGGCAATCGCCGACGAACATGTAGGAACTTTCAATCCTGAAGAAATGAAAACTTCCCGCAAAAAAAGGTGTTTTCCATTCCTTGCATGATCAATGCGTTGAACTTATTGATCTGCTTTAAGCACGCGAAAGGACGAAGTGATTTATGTGAAGTATGTGCGAGCACGTGAAGCACTACAGAGCCGGATCCTAATGATATCGGAAGCTTTGAAAGAGGAGCGACTGAATTTCCTAGTGAAGGTGAGGTCAGAAGTCTTCTCGTTCTTATATCCGAGATTAGATTTGAAGAGTTATTCCGAATACTGTAGACAATGAAAAACATTGAAAAGCAGCCGTTTATTAAACATTTTTGTGAGAAAAAGTCACTGATCTGTCTCATTTCTTCTTTCAGAAAAATGCGATAGGAATGCGCGATTTCCGCATAAATCTGGATACATTGAAAACTCGTGTGGTGCAGGACGAGGCCAATGTGGAGCCCAGAAGAAAAAGGAAGAAGCGCCACCATCAATCGATGCGAGAGGGCCACAGGGGCAAGAAAACGATGTGGACCAGGAGCTATTACGACAACCGCAAGAATTATGATGGAGGCGGCGAACAGAAATATGCATTGCCGACCGGATGTTTATGTTTACATGACACATATTATTAAGACACTTGTTCTCTCAGGAGATAATAGCGCGGTAGAATTCAGTTAAAAGAGTTTCAACTGCTCGTCTCGAGAACATTTTTGCTCGTTCACGTACGTTTCTTTTTACAGAAAAATTTCAATGACTTGCCAGTTATGCAATTATGGAACAACATTTCTTGCACTCATGCTTATTATGGGGCTTTCACATCTCGAGATAAGAGTGATACTACTAATCCAATTCAGATAGTGACGTAAGTTGGGTGGTCACCATCGAGCAGGGCGCTTACCGCTGCTTTTCACGCCCACCACGTTTTATCACAATGAGTCGGACCCATGAAAAGTTTAAACTATATGATACTCATGCAAACGGACCAAACGGACCATGCAAACTATATGAAACTCATGCAAACGGAACAAACTGACCATCTTGTCCACCTATCCGAGAACCGAACTGCATTCGGATCTTCGGATAGGTGGACAAGATGGTTAGTAAGAGCAAGTACAACTTCTGCAGTTGAGACGCATGACGTTCAAATGCCACCTCTGCGCCGCTTATGTAACGAATACTCCTGTGCGTCTGTATCCGCTGTATTCAGTTTTGATTCCTTCCGTTATACATTTTGTCTCTCCTTCATGTACAGTGTAATCCGTTCAGTTCATTAGGCGGTCAAAAGGTCGCAGACGCAGCTGCGGCGTGCCACGATTGCGGCGACCAGCTATTTCTCCCTATCTGGCCATTTTCTCCCTAATTCATAATGTTTTTGGCTGCTCTTTTTGAGGTTGGTTGTTGCTTGCCTTTACAAAGTAAATCATGCTTGTTATCAACAAAAAATCCCAAAACAGTTCATCACAAAAACAAGAAAGAATCCACGTCCTAATATACTTCATAAAGACAAAAACAACTTACCTTGAAAAAATAAATAATACAGTGAAAATTAGGGAGAAAATGGCTAAATAGGCTGGAAACAGCTGATCGCCGCGGTCGTGACGCGCCGCAGCCGCGTCTGCGACCCTTTGACCGCCTAATCAGTTGCCCGGATGACGATGTACTGTACTGCGCGCAGTATGCGTCGTAGTAAAGGATACGTAGGGCGCACCTGTGTCCGTAGTCTTCGTGCATAATCGCAATGAGGTTGCGCTCAACAACTTACACCGACATTAATATGTAGAAAAAAATCTCAGAAAGCAATAACTAATTTGTCAAACGACAAACCAAGTCGACCGGTTCCTGAATAGCACTGAAGAGCGTGGTTAAAGTCTGAACAAGCCGTTCTCGCTGTACAGCAAACTGCGAGTGAAGCGGCAGCAATCTGGACGTCAACTCACAGCAGTGGTCACATTTGTTTAACGCAACCACGAGCACTTGATCCACTGCAATGAAAAGCACAGAGACACGGCATTGTTATTTCATTGGTACTCAGTTTATGAGACAGTTTCAGTTGGCGATAAATTGATGATAAATAAAGAAACAGCGACGGCAACAGTCAAACGTCTAAAAACTTTTTCAGTTCTTTATATAATACAGGACGCCTCTTGTGCCACTTGTCACGTAGGGCCGCTGATTTTTGATTATTGGATAGCAGCTTGGCTAACGCACGGGGCACGCACAAAGTGACACTCATGCTGTATTTTGTTGCTGTTTTGTTGTTTATCACAGGATACCTTGTGTGGTACGCCAATGAATCATGAAAAAAAGAAAAAAACCAAACGAGAACAAAACAGCAGCACTCGAACTTGATGTCGTGTGACCAAAACCACGATAGAAATCATAACTTGCAAGGGGGGAAAAGTAGGTAACTAGAATGATGTACGATGCTTGTAAAAGTACTACGATATAAGATGGTTGTTTGCTTGTTTGTTTCCCCTCGGGTAAATGCCGTTTATAGGTAAATCTAAATGGTGATATTCCATGCGTCGGTGCTACACAACTATTACAATTTTCACATATAATTAAAATTAAGCAAGATTGTTGCTGAAAGTTGATATCTATAGAGTAATCAATGGTGTGCTCACGATTATGGCACTTACCAGGGCACATCGTTGTTGGGGAATCCCCAATAGGAGGGGGTCGTATTTGGCCGCCAGGAGAGGGGGGTCGTATTTGGGCTGGGAAAAATTTATTTTGATAGTTGATTTTTCTCGCTTCACGGACGTTGTAAAGGGGGGGGGTCGTACTTGGTCATTGTTGGGAGGGGAGGGGGGGTCGTATTTACGTTTTGGCGTTGTAGGAGTGGTGGTTGACTTTTGGTGATTTTCCTGTTTCATGCGTACTATATATATGCCCCCCCCCTCCATAGAAAATTTTTGGGGAGGAATTTTCCGGGAAATTTCGGAAAAAAGAGGCAGGAAGTTGGGAAAAATCTGAAAATTGGTAGAAGGGGGGTCGTATTGTCTCGCGAGCGTTTCACATGTCGTATTCCCCCCCCCCCGCCATGCACGGCACTTTTCTCGCCCGGTGTGGAGAAGGGAGGGGGAGGTGGGG